AGCGCGAGGCCGGGAGCGCAATGCTGGAGGCGGAGGAGCGGCCTGGCGGCGCGCTGCCAGACGGGGGCCGTGGCGGCGGCTGTCCTCAGGACGGAGGAGGCCGCGGCGGCGGGGAGGAATGCCCAGGCGGGGTTCACCGTCGTCATGAAGTTCGGCGGCTCGTCGCTCGCGTCGGCCGAGCGGATGCGGGAGGTGGCCGACCTCATCCTTAGCTTCCCCGACGAGACGCCGGTCGTCGTCCTCTCCGCCATGGGGAAGACCACCAATAACCTCCTCCTGGTACCGCCCATTTCTAGCTCTCGGTCTGGCGGGCGTCGGATTGCTTGGCTTGTTGTACTAGCTGAAGCTAAATGTGAGTGCCTGTTTGTTTCGTTGATTGTGTGTAGGCCGGAGAGAAGGCGGTGAGCTGCGGCGCCCCCAAGGCGTCTGAAATCCCTGAGCTCGCGGTCATCAAGGACCTGCATCTTAGGTGTGTTTCGCTTTGCCTTTTGGCCGCCTTTGATTGATCGTGTTGCCGTGTGCTCGAGCATCTGGACCTGACCATGCGTTGTTTTGTTCCCATCAGGACGGTTGATGAGCTCGGATTAGATAGGTCGATTGTTTCAGGTATGTTGTTGTTTGCTCCACTCTGCTCTCGGTACACCTCAGCTATTCCTCTTGCTCCTGTTATAGCCATACAACGGGACATCGTTCTCTTTGATGTCCAATAGTTTTCTCAGCGAAGTCTGAATAATATTTCCTGGTGGAAGTTGCATGGACATCACATGATTTCTTTTGTCAGCAATACAAACCATTTTCGGCATGCACCATGCCACCGGCAACCATTTTATTGTGTGCACAACAGGGACAGTTTGTTTATCTTATAACAGCTCAATTTACCTTCTCGGTTTAACTATTTGCCAGTGCTCACGCTTGTTAAGTAATTTATAGTGCTACCAGTCTCTATACCTATTATTTTAGCCAGCAAAGCAGAAACGACAAAGTGGATGCTAAGCTGTAATACCACTGTGAATTGTGACAACTTGTGCATTTTTTAATAACTGCGGTCAATTATTGTGATCTGTTTTCTTTGGCTAATTCTCCGTTCAGCGCTTGTTTATCTCCCAATCAAAGTGCCTTTCAGAAGCACTACTCAAACATTGCCTCTTTCAATGTTTATTTCAACAGGTTTATTGGATGAATTGGAGCAACTTCTTAAAGGAGTTGCTATGATGAAAGAGCTGACTCTTAGGACAAGAGATTATCTTGTTTCCTTTGGTGAATGTATGTCTACAAGAATATTTGCTGCATATTTGAATAAACTTGGGAAAAAGGCACGCCAGGTAAGTCAAATGCTATGCTTCTCTTCTATACACACATACTATTATTTAATATTTATTATTTTATCTGTTGGAAGCAGATAGTTTTTTTTTTCCAATGTCATTTAGCACAAGCAACACATGAGGGTTACCTAGAATTAAATTTTGAACTGAAAGTTTGGATTCTAGTCAGACAATCAATTCTAACCTGTGGTAGAATAATGTGTGAATGCAATTAGTCCATAGAAGATGGTCTCCTATGTCTGGAACCTGGATAGTGCCAAAACATGTACTCTGCCCACCGGCCACTCCAGGAAGAAAATTAGTCTTTGTTTAACCTAACTTTTTTGGACTAAGAAGGGAAGTCAGCTTTTGATCCAAACAAGGGCACAGTTGATCTGTCCTGGCATACACTGCATGTGGGTGCCTTCAAATTTTGGGCAATATTTCTTATAACATTACACATAAACCATCTCTTCATGGTTCTAAGATATGTATTCCCCTCTGTCTTTGTGGACTGGGTCCACAACACCAATTTCAATCCAATTATATCGTAAACTTATTGTTGTTGTTTTTGGCAGTATGATGCATTTGATATTGGCTTTATAACCACTGATGATTTCACAAATGCGGATATTCTTGAAGTCACTTATCCTGCTGTTGCGAAGAGGCTACATGGAGACTGGATGAATGACCCTGCTATTCCTATAGTCACTGGTTTTCTTGGGAAGGTATGTACTTCTACATGTTTTCTGTTGAGAGTGTCAAGTTTACTTTGTTTCGATTCGTAATGATGCGCATCAATTTCAGGGATGTAAATCATGTGCTGTCACCACTTTAGGCAGGGGTGGCAGTGACTTGACAGCTACAACCATCGGCAAAGCCTTGGGATTAAGAGAAATTCAGGTTTGGTTTCATTTTTCAGTGTTCCAGTTTCAGATCCTTAGATAATGTATATAAAATATTTGTGTTTGTTTCAGGTTTATTAAGTTTTTACGGATTAATAAGTTGGTCAAGGCTTTAGATCCTCAAATAGTATTGTCGTCATTATCTTTTTATGTTTTTGTATAATTTGTCCCTTGGTATATCATGTTGGATTTCATCTCTACCCTACCCCATCTTGCTTGTGACTAACAGGCTCTGTTGTTAAAGACTTAAGTTGTTTCGATCTTCATGAAAACTAAAAGTCCCTTGTAACGCCTCTACTATTTTTTTATAGGTTTGGAAGGATGTAGATGGTGTGTTGACATGTGATCCTAATATTTATGAAAATGCTATACCCGTGCCCTACTTGACTTTTGATGAGGCTGCTGAGCTTGCCTACTTTGGTGCACAGGTATTTCATCTTTCTTTTTTAGTTATGATTTGTTGATCAAATAAAATGTTACCTGTTGCACCTCAAAACTCAAGTTTTAGTTTAGTTTACAGGTCATTCTCGTGCCTTTGTTTTTCCTTTTTGTTTTTGGTTTAGAAGGTCAGTTGTGTTGGCAGAAATTTTAGGAACCGTTGAATTTGTTCTTATATAACTTCTTATACCTGTCTTTTGGTAGGTTTTGCATCCCCAATCAATGCGACCGGCTAGGGATGGTGATATACCAGTGAGAGTTAAGAACTCATACAATCGTCATGCACCTGGTACTGTCATCACTAAATCCAGAGATATGAGCAAGGTTTGTTGTGTTAGTAGATTATGATTCTTTCTTGTGCAATATCTCATTACTGCTTTGCTGAGTTCGTTGAAATAGCCAGAGCTACATTTTTTTTTGCAGAGCATATTGACCAGCATTGTGTTGAAATCAAATGTTACCATGCTGGATATAGTGAGCACACGGATGCTTGGCCAGTACGGGTTTTTAGCAAAGGTACATGAAGCAACTGACGTGGCTCATTTGTTTGTTTGCTTCCATTCTACCTTTTTGTTAGCTTGATCATATTTTTATGTACATGTGCAGGTCTTCTCAATATTTGAAGATTTGGGCATCTCTGTTGACGTTGTGGCTACTAGTGAAGTCAGCATCTCGTTGACTCTAGATCCATCAAAACTATGGAGCCGTGAATTGATCCAGCAGGTAAGCATCTGAGTGAGGAAATATTTTTAGTTAAACTTTCAGCAAACAATACAGCCAGTACCTCCAATAACATCCAGTTACCAAATGTTTTACTCTGCATGTGTTATCATCTCTGTTCAGTGTTATGATTAAGCTTGGAATTTGAATTGCTTAGTATTAAATTACACATTTTGTAACTATGTGTTTTGATCTATGGATTCTTGCGGCAGTTGATAACCCACATAACCTTTTAGGTGCATGTTAAACTTACAGAACAGATAATATATTGAATTCTTTTGCCGTGGTTTTACTTTGCAGGTTTAACCTGGCAAATTTTCAGTAAGTTTTTTACTGCCCTCCTGATTCTTTTTTTTTACAATGATGTGGCAGGAACTTGATCATGTTGTTGAAGAGCTTGAAAAATTTTCTGTTGTTCATCTGCTCCAGCGTAGATCGATCATCTCACTGATAGGGAATGTACAGAGATCATCATTGATTCTTGAAAAGGTCAGAGCTCCTAATGATACTGAACTTCCATGCTAGGTCATGCTTTTTATTCTGGAGATTGGACACCAAAACATGAATGTCTGACCCTTTTCCTGCATGCCAGGCATTCAATGTTCTACGAAGAAATGGTGTTAATGTCCAAATGATCTCACAAGGGGCATCCAAGGTATCCATCCCCTCTTACAAAACATAAAACAAGTTTTTATGCAATTTCCAGATGGTGCAGTAATACTTACTATGTACTCATGCAGGTGAACATTTCCTTAGTAGTCAATGACAGTGAGGCAAAACAGTGTGTACAAGCCCTCCATTCAGCATTCTTTGAGAATGGCTTCTTGTCGGAAGTAGAGGGAGCTGATGTTCCCCAGAACGGCGCCTCTCTGAATTCAAATGGCGCTATCTATGCAAACTAGTCGACTCTGCAACTGCATCCTCAGACTTATGTACCATTGATAGGTTAAATGGCAATTCGTAGCTATTTATTTAGGTCACCCAGGGCCCTGAGCAAATTCCTTGATGTTTTAAGAGCTTACCAGGAACTGTTTGCATGGTATGCAATCGTTTACCGTGCGATTGGGTGCTACCAAGTAGTAGCCCACTGTCTTGGGGATCTGCCACTTGGTCAAGGCATTCCCAAGCTTATTATATGTTGAGTTGTATTGTATGTGAAAGTATAAGAGAATTGCTTGCGCCCTTTGGGTGGTTATAAAGTTTGTAGTTTTAGACAACTCAGTGGATGGACCATTATCAGATTGCTCATGATATGTAAGCGAATGTGATCTTCTGATTCTGTGACCATTATCAGGTTGCTTTCCTCATGATATGCAAGTTCATAGGCTTGGGGTCAGCAGATAACTTTTCTGTTTCCTCAACCTCCATCTCATCCATTCAGTGATGAATTTTGCATTTACTCGATTATGGCACGAGAGCTCAACAAACTGAAATATTTACAAAGACTAAAACAACAAAACTGTTATAGATGTAATTACAACTTACCTGTGATCCAACACATTTGTAATTACATCTTGATTACAATATTCTCATCTTTATATGCCTTGATGTATTTTCATTTTTCAGAACTATCATGTACATCGGCTATAAACTTTCATGGACAAACTATTGGCTACACCAAGGCAAGGTACAATGTCTACTCAAACTGCTGCTGTGCCTTTTGCCTCTCGAGTTTCTGGATCAAAGCGTTCTTTTCCTCTTCAGGGAGTGCGTTGAACATGAAAACAGATTTGTCCCCAATGTCGTCCTGAATGGTTGAGGGAGAAGAATGAAATTGTCAGATTCGAATCAGGAAGCAAGATATCAGCTACAAATGAAGGGTACATAGGAATCATTGGGAGAGATTTTACCTTGATGGGCTGCTGGAACTTTCTAGCTGCGAAAACCATGAAAAGAAGCATCCACACTCCTAAAAGGGTTGTCTTTGTGCTGTTATCCATTAAACCAGACTGCACATAAAATGTGACCACAAAGATTGTAAGATGAGTGCAGCAGATACCAGCAATATGAGACTTTGAGGAGATAAATCTCAGTGGTTTCTGACTTACCAAATGTCCAAGAAGCAGCCCAGGGATAACAAACGTTAAGATGCCAGCTTCCAATTTTCCATAGCAGAGACCTGTGGATGCATTACTGTCAGCATAATCGACAAATTGGATAACACTACAATGTATAACAAACTGGAATATCATTAGCATGGCCATTGCTACTACAGTCGTCATATCACTGTATATACTGGCTATATGTAACCGGGCAGGAAATTCATATCACTGTATATACTTGGCTATCCATATGTAATCGGGTTGGAAACAGATGACAGGAAAAAAAAATGCAATGGATGAGCTGAAAAGAAAGAAGAGAGGTACCAAGTACCATATGGAGATACACACTGAGATTCTGATAAGCAGCACGCGCAGCGTTTGCATACCTTCCTTGAAGATGAGGCCAGTGAGCGCGGCAAACGTGGGGCCGACGAACCACAGCGCGGCGGGGTGCTCCAGCACGTACTGCACGAGGCCCTCGTCCAGCGGGCGGGCGGCGACGAGGTAGGTCCCGAGGGAGCCGAGCACCCCGGCCGCCCACAGCGCCTGGAGGAATCGCTTGATCGGGGTGACGTAGATGTGGATGAGGAGCAGCGACAGGCCCAGCCCCGAGGCGCCGGCAGCGTACAGGAGGTCGGCCGCGCCGGCGCCGGCGGCGGGGTTGCCCTCAGGCAGGAACGCCGCGGAGGCCGCGGCCACGAAGGACGCCGCCGCCGTCACCAGCCCCGACCGGTACAGCAGCACCTCGCGGACGTCGGAGTCCTCCACGGTCCAGGGCCCGTAGGCGCCGTTGTAGACCGTGGCCTGGTCGGGCAGCCCCGAGCCAGGCCCGTCCCCGACGGCCCGGAGCCTCGCGCCGCGGCGGCCGAGGAGGGGATAGGAGGGGTAGGGAGTTGGTCTCTTGGTGAAGCCGGGGGCGAGGCTCGGTTGAGGTGGGAGAGAAACGAGCCACGGCGAGAGGAGGAGCGCGGCGGCGGCGGCCATGGTGGTCGGTCGCGTCGCGTGATTTCTAGAGGCTCTCAGTGAGTCTCAGCCACCAGCGGATGCGTCGGCCTCTATATTTCGAGCGTTCGTTTCCGGTGACGGTGGCCACTGGCCACTGGCCGGTTCACTTGCAGCGCTTCAGTGGGCTTATGGGCTGTGTAAGTGGCAGGGCTCCTTGCAACTGGTCTCTCTCACTCTGATTTTGAACATGCAGGCCCAAGAAGTGATCGGTACATTGATGAGCCCGGGATAGTTGACAGGCCTCTGTTTCGAAAAAAAAAAGTTGACAGGCCTGTTGCCGTCGATTCACGAATAATTCCGGCCTTACTAATCTATTCCCCAGGAGACTCTCGTGGCGTCCGTTCCCCAACAGTAGAGAGAGTCAACGCGCAAGCGATTTCTTGACTCCCCGCCGAATTCGCTGCTTCTCCTCGCCGTCGGTGGCCTTTTTAGCACCGATGTGCTTGGGAAACGTCGAATCTGGTGGGTGATGTACATATCATCTTCTAATAGAGTAGTTTTACCTAGAATAAGGTTAGATTTCTTACCGGTAGAGATATTGTCGGTAAGCTTTTGTTTGTAGGATCTCTAGTTGGACTAGAGGAGGGTGAATAAGCATGTCAAAACAAACTCTCAAACTTTTATCAAATTCACCCAACGACACTGCCGCCCTAGAGAACGGCACTGCCGGGCTGCGGCACTGCTGGGCCATAACAGCGGCACTGCCGCACCTGCAAACAACTTCAAATCACAGTTCAAAATCCGTGAATGAAAACTTAGACCGAAGAAATTTCCTAGCTTACTGCAGGTATGACAATCACTGATTAAGAGCTAGAAGTGGTAGGAACACCATACACAAGTAGATCGACTAGAAATCCTAGAAATCACCTCAACCACAATATGTCATGCAAGTAATGTAAATCAAGTAAAGTGACACAATGATTTATCACGTGATTTGGTTCACCACCAAGGCTTGCCTACCTCTACATTGTTGAGGTTAGCCACTAAGGCTTAGAGCTTTCCAACCCTTCCTCGTTCTCAAATCAAGAGACTTAACTCTTGAGATAAGGAGTGAGTTTACTAACTTCAAGACATGGTTACAAACCTCCCGGAGATACCATACAAGTTGGCAAGCTCCACAGGCGACGATCTAGCCGGCTATGAGCCAAGCTCCAAGAGTAACAAACGCAACCGCTGGCTAAAATATGAACCAAGTGCTCTTCAGAGTTAGGGAAATCAATGGAGCTGCTCTCTAATCGAGTTTTAAACCCTTTTCCCTCAAGGGTTGATGGGGAAATCAATAGATTTGCTTAGGGCTTGAGGTCAACAATGGAGGGAGAGAGAGAGCTCCTACTCTGTTTGGAGAGTGCTAAAGTGAGGAAGAAGAGACAGATAGCCGTTGGGGAGAAAGGGGAAAGGTATTGTAGGGCCGAGATGGCGGACTAGAGGGGGTGAATAGTCCTTTTTAAATTTAATCGCGTCGGCTAACCGAAACAAATACGGAATTAAAACAATCGGTCTAGCCAAGACTACACCCCTCTATCGAAGTTCACTCGCACCTTATAGAGATCCTAATTAGGCAACAAAGGTGTCGGGCTAGCTAGTGCTCACCTAACCAATTCTAGAAGTAAGGTCACACAAACCTATGCCACTAGTACTTCAAGCAACGAGGGAGCTCCAACACATGCTAGTAAGCAAAAGCACAAAGCCACCTAAGCTCACTAGCAATGCTCAATAACAAAGCTACACAAGCCAATTATAGAGCATAAATTTCTTAGCTACACAAACTAAGCAATATGACTAACAAGGTTACTTAAACCGAATTAGTCATGCAAGGGAGCTACTTCTATGCTATACAAGTAAGAAGGTAACTAGCAAGCTACACAAGCTAACTAATTATAAGAGCAACTATACAACCACAATGTAAATGAAGTAAATACAAGCTTGTATAATGAGGATGAGCGCAAATTTCTTCGCTACACAAACTAAGCAATGTGACTAACAAGGTTACGCAAACCGAATTAGTCACGCAAGGGAGCTACTTCTATGCTACATAAGCAAGAAGGTAACTAGCAAGCTATACAAGCTAACTAATTACAAGAGTAACTACACAAGCATAATATAAATGAAGTAAATACAAGCTTGTGTAATAAGGATGCAAACCAACAAGAATACAAGAATGACACAATGATTTTTATCCCGAGGTTCACGTGCTTGCCAACATGCTAGTCCCTGTTGAGATAAGCTCCAAGGTTGCCGTCGGTCCTCTTGCTAGTGGTGACCCGCAAGTCACACTCTTCCACGTGGAGTGCTTACCACAAGCTCTAGCACTTGACTCGGCCAGACCACTTGTCGCCCTTCGTGTCTCGCTCTACTAGAGTTGCTCTTCGTGGCTTCCACAGGACGAGCACAATCCCCCTCACAATCACTTCTTCGGAGCACCGCACAATCTTCTTTGTGTGCTTCAACGGAGACCACCACCAAGCCATCTAGGAGGTGGCAACCTCCAAGAGTAATGAAAGTGCATCTAGCCCTTTAGTGAGTTTTGGGTGATTGAATGACAACACGATTAAAGGACTAACATGTTTGCTAAGTGTTAGATAGAAAATTGATCATCTCACAGATACTTGATGAAATTGTATAAAGCCAAAAATGATGTATTGTTGTATAAACAATCTAGTTCAAGCACAAGACAACAATGTAAATGGAATTCATGCAAATGCTTATTTATTGTGGGATTTCAAAGATCTATGTGAAAGCAAGCACGATAAGAGTTAATTAATGAGACATGAGGGATTGCATATGGAATGGTCTCATATTTGAAGCTTGCTAAATTGAAATGAAAAAGACAACAATACAAATGAATGGTTGATTTAATACAAGATGTGACTTGACGGCTTGAGATGGTGAAGATAGCAAGAAAAGGCTTCAAGGTACTAAGCAAGGGTGAAGGGCAAGCGACGGCTTGATGGCCGAGGAACCTAGCTAGGGTGAAGAAGAAAGTACTTGCATTTAGTTGAGGTATTAATCAAGCTATGATGGTCATATTGATGTGGATGATCAAATCTATATTGGACAAGTTGATTAAAGTGACTTGATGCATTTAGAGTTATTCATATTTGATGAATGGAATCAAGTCACGTGCTCAAGATGGCTATGCTCAAGTGACAAGATCAATATTGACATGTTGGCACCCTCACTTGATGAAGATTGAAAGACACGGCATCAATTTAAAGAAGATCAACTCAAAAGGTTTAATTTCATTTTTCTTTTGATCTTGAGTTAACAGGTATGCCGTACTATTAAGAGGGATGCAAGTTTAAGTGGTCTGAGGAAGATAGAGTGCTCAAGCATAATAATTAAATCAAATGAGAGACACTCTAGCACTTCACGAGCACATAGAATAATTGTCGGTGTCAGAAGTCCCGACGTAAGCCAGAACTCCTGACAGTCGGAAGTCATGACTCTTGCCGGAACTGCTGACTCCCAATCATAGCCTGCGCGGTGACTGTGGACGTCGGAAGTTTCGACGTGAGTCGAAACTCCCGACAGTCGAAAGTCCCGACCCAAGCCGGGAGTCCCGGCATCGATGGTTCTACTGACCTACTGTCTGTGCCCGTCGGAAGTCCCGACGTTCGTCGGAAGTTCCGACCGTCGGAAGTCCCGATGTTCGTCGGAAGTCCCGACGTTCGTCGGAAGTTCCAACCGTCGGAAGTCACGACCCATGTCGGAAGTTCCGACGTTGGCTGTCTCGAGTGGACTTTGACCTCGCGTGAACAGTGTTTTCTTCATACGTCGGAAGTCCCGAGATCTGCGTCGGAACTTCCGACGTAGATCTGAACGGTTAGATTTTGCCTTGAAGTATATATACCCCTCTCCTTGCTTCTAACCGTTGCCCACTCATTTCATTGCGACGAACACTCGGCCAAAACAGCCCCCAAGCATTCTAGGCTCGCATCTCTTCACTCCTTTGCTTCCAACTTCAATTCCTAAAGGGTTTGAGTGATTGGAGAGTGGATTGAGTGAGAAAAACACTTTGAGCAAGCTTGAGCATTTGATTTCTTCGTCAAGCCGGTTTGATTTGCATTTGTTACTCTTGGGGATTTTCCCCTAGCCGGCTAGGCGTCGCCCAAGAGCTTCCATCTTGTGGAAGAGCCTTGGGAAGTTTGTATTACCCTTGTTTTCTAGTGAAGAAACTCAAGTGACCTTTGTGGTATCCTTGAGTGAGGCAAGGAGGTGGAAGAGACTCCGACCAAAGTGGTCACCTCAACAATGAGGACGTAGGAGCTCCTTTGTGGGGCTACCGAACCTCAGGATAAATTCTTGTCTCCCGCGTGCTTGTTGTTGTTGTGATTTGCTTGAAATTACTTGTATTTGGTTGTCTCCCTCTCTCTAGCTATTTCTTAGGGTTTGGGACTCGATCTACGGAGTGGTGGCTTATCAACGTTAAGAGAGTGACCCAACACCTTACCTTACCACTAGGAAGTGGGTTTGTAAGTTATCGGCATCACAAAGTTCATTTTAGCACTTGCAGTTCATTTCCCGTAGGGGTCGAAAGTTCTGACCCAAACGTCGGGACTTCTGACACGTCGGAAGTTCTGACCCAAACGTTGGGACTTCCGACATTAACTGACTAGTGCATTTTGATTCAACTCTTTGGTTGCAGCTGTTTGGCTCCCTAGGTTTATCTAGTATCTTTTATATACTTTGTGGATATCTTGTGAGGGGTGGTATTACTCTTATTTAGAGTTTTTATTTTGGAAACTCCTATTACTAATCGTTTCTGCTTTTAAAGGGGTTGATTTTTCAGAAACGCCTATTCACCCGCCCTCTAGGCGGCATCATAGGTCCTTTCAATTGGTATCAGAGCCAGGACTCACTACAAGCTTTACCGCTGTGAGAAAATGATGTCAACGCCTATCGAGTTGGAGCCAGTGCTTCTCCAAAATGATGGTTCAAACTTTCTACCTTGGTCAATTCATGTACTCAATGCTTTTAGA